TTGCAGCATAAATAGAAATTCTGAGAATTTTATTCTTCGCTTTGCTGAGTAAATCTTTGCTTTAGAAAGTTTTGCACATGCTCAGAGGCAGAGGAGAACTAACTTGATACTCTTTTACATGGAAGTCTGCAAACAGCCTGTGCGGTGCAGCAATTCCTCCAAACACAAAGCAGGGAAGATTGCTTCTCTACTTTAAAGATACATAAATACATTAAAAGTTAAGATTAACACCAGTGAGCTAGACAGACACATTCATTTTTAAGCAGAATCCAGGGAGAAAACCATTTTCTTACAATGTCTGTGTAGTTTGAAATGAATCTTTTTTGTTTTGTCCACTGACCATCAGCACAGCCAGAGCCGATTCATGCAGGTTTAACAGAAATTCATAACATTCAGCACTGTATTTGACAGCTGCTGTAATAACCTCTTTAAATGAAAGTACTCAAACAAGTCTGACTGACAGATTTAAGCACTCCCAACCCAAGCTCAAAACAAACATATCTCAGCTCTTAGCTGGATGATATTTACAGGCAGTGACTTAACCAAAAAATAACTCGAGTAGAAAACCACGGACCAAACAAAAACCTCATTTTTATTCAGGCTACTCAAACGCTGCTGCAGGGCTACTGTACGCGATGGGTGTGACTTCCCTAAAACTGACGTCACGAGATTTCTCTTTCAAAGAGGCGGTTAAATTATTCCCCCTTCCCTAACCTCTGAGAGGACGCACAAAAGAGTCCAGAAATCACAATTCTAGCCCCTCAGAGGGCGTTTTGACCTCTTGCCTTGCCTTGACCCGCTTCAGTGTGGGTTTTGCAATGTCTTTTACACCAAAGCGTAAGAGGCCAAAGGATGAGAGCTGCTGAATTTCTTCCCGTGTTCTCAAAGTAAGCCAGGGCACCTTTTGGCTCTCCTCTGGTTTGCGTGAGTACAGATGTTGCTTAATCCAACATGCAGGAAAGCGCAGGCAGTCAGCACCTTGAAGTGATTCCCAGGTGCCTGGGCATTTCACAGCAGCATTCAGCATTTCTTTTGGGGAACCAAAGCACTGAAAATTTTAAAACATTTATGATTCTGACAAAGGGAAGGAAAAAGGAAAAAAAAAAAAAGATGTCCAAAAAAGATCACACAGATGTCTAAGTTCATAGAAAAGTTTATTTTGCGTGGCTATCACAATAAATAATGGCAAGAATTTAATACATATACAGTGCAATTCTAAGACACTAGAAGCCTTTAGAGGGATAAGGATGTCGTGTCAAAAAAATCTGTCAACATTACAATTACACCACTGTATCCTGGAAAATTGAAATGTTTACCATGTCCGCTATAAATGGCAGCCTTGTGGACTGAAACTCAGTTTGTCCCATGATCCCCAACCTCTGAAATAAAGATATAAGACGCTTACTTAGAGATTAGTTGGTATCAGCCAGATCATGAGCCAATGCTCATGACTTTTAATGTCACTGCCCAGAGCACTGAAATGACCACAGGTTTTTTTTATTGTCTGCATCTCTCCATGTCCCTCTGTCCTATCGGCCATGGGGCCACTACTGGCCAGTTATTTTGATATACAGGCAAGTTCACACTTTCATTCCTCTCATATTATAGGTCCTCATAAAAGAAGGAGACAGAAGCCCATTAAGTGTATTAGTATAATGCTATGCAGGTAAGAGAACGCATCACCCTCATTAGTAAACTACAACAGTCTCATAATGATGTGCTATGAAGCATTTCCACTGCTTGACAGACAGGTCTTTATTTGCACTATGATTAAACATCATTATTTTAACAGGTTGATTCTCCCAAAAGTCTTCTCTTCTGTCTAAGTACAGACGATGTATTCATTACCAAGCTAAATTTTAAAGAGTAAATTAAGAGTGTTTTTTATCAAGCTCCCATTTAGAAAAGTTGAGGTTTGGTGACTTTAGCCTGAACTTCAGCAAGCGATCTTGATACGCAAGTAACAAGAAATCTTGGAGTTTGTCCTGGTTTTGCTAGGACTGTACTGTAGAAATCCATTTTCTGCTCAGCAGAGATGCATTTCTGAGAGCCGTTTGCCAGGCTAAACCACGACAGAGTTGTGAGCACACAGCTTTTATAGAGAGGGGCTTTTCATTAGAAGAAAATGGATAGGAAAAGACAGTTTTAAATTCTTATGCACAAGACTGAAATGTGGAGTCACGCCTTTTCAGCACTGGCACCCTGACCATGGTTGTTTCTGTTGGAGCTTAGAGTCGAGGAATGCATTTTACCATTTTCGTTATCCAGACACACAATTAGTGGATCAGCAGCCTTTCCTTTCTAATTGATCTGCTCACATGACAAATGATGAACATCTCACTTGTCAGTGTCTTAAGCAGTAGTTTTAAGATCTGAAGTGTTTGACAGAGCTGCTGGAACAGTTGAAATTTTACTACCTCACTTTCCTAATTAACACATGAGCTCCAGACAGCCAAGTTGACATTTTACAGTTCGGCAAAGGAAGTGACTACTGTTCTAGCAGACACTGAAAGTTTGAAGATCTAATGGCTCTTTTTAAAAGGCACTTGGAAACCAAACTGATGCTTTTACAACAGGACCTGGAACTGCAGTTCACGGCACTCTCACCCCACACAGTTAAAATATCCTCATCAAAATAATTAAGAGCCAGCAGCACACACTTTCCTTACTCTGAAAGAACAGAAATCTGTAACACTGCAAGCGTAATGCAAGAAGAGTTTCTCATCCGCCATTCCTTGCACGACAACGTAGGTTAACAGTTTATATGACACTGGTTTACAATGAAGGTATTGTTGTGGTTGCAGCCCAGAGACCTTTTATAACCCAAAAGTGTTGAAAAAAGCAAAAAAAAAGCCTCAACAGTTTGAGACAGTAAAATCTAACACATCACGTGCCCAAATCAGAGAGGAAATACTGTAGAGTGAGAAGACGGCAGACTCTGAGCCTTCAATGAATTTAGCCTTTTGACCCAAACCAGAACTGTCCCAACAACTTTAATGAGGCCAATTACTCACTCAAATAGCGTCTAAGAATCACTGCATGAAGTCTTTCAGTTGTTTCTGACAGCAGATTAAACATTTAAATATTTAAATGTTTAAAATAAATATTTTAATGTTTAAAGTGTAGCTTATTTCGAGCATTCATCACTTCTGATTCCTGTTAAATTCTGTCTTATCTTAACAGCATTTGTTTACATGACAGTAAGTCTAAAAAGGCCCGTATTCATAGCGCTTCACGGCTTCTGGGAGGCCAAAATGAAGTTTTACTTCCAAAATTAGTTCTCCCGTAGGCTCTGCATCTCAACTGCCAAAATCCATCAGTGTCTTTGGCCACAGTTGTAGAAATGCAACAGTTTGAAAGCTCATCTGAAAACTTCCCATAGGAATAACAAACTCTCTTTACAAGTGTATTTACGTGACTCCCACAACCTAACTTGTAGCCACAAAAGGAAATGACTGTGTGGACAAACTACAGTTTTTGTTGTCTAAGGACCAACCTTTAGTTTCTGCAGTCATCATACACTGGAAAAAGATCAAAACTCTGGACAGCTCAGTGAGTAACAAAAACACTTCTACAGTATTAAACACTTGCATTCCTGAAATCAGTAAAAGCCTGGGCTCGTGTCTTAATTGGTACTGAAAAATGAAGTTTGGACTTGAGGTATACATTTCAAAAGTGTGTTTTATAACCGGTTGTTCTATTTTCACAGTGGTCATTAGAAACTATTTGCAGCAACAGATAACAGAATAATATTTTAAGTACCTAGTACAGAAAACATTTGCAAAGGACCACAGTTTATAACTGGAACCTTCCTCTTTACAGAGTTCTTTACAATTATCTTTACAGCTTTTGTATTCTTCTAAATTCTGCTCTAGAATGTACTTTTAGGAAAGTTCCTCCTGCCCACAGTGTTTTTTCTTAAACACAAAAATGCATCTGAACAAGACTCAAAAAGTTGCATCCAAAAATAAGTCTCAGAATCAAAGGAACATGAGTTAACGTTCACATTACTTCTGCAATCCGAGATACTTTTCAGTTGCTCACATACCTACACTACCACACCAACAGACCAAATCTTTTCTTAAACCTCTTTATACCAAAACAGAGGTCATGTAACCTCTGTTACATGAGTGACAAAGAACCACAAGCAAGAAGCTCATACCCTGAAGTCAACTTTCATTCTCTGATGCTCATCACGCTAAAGAACGATCCAGGACTGGTCATCAAATCCAACCATCCACGACAGTGAAGGACCATGCACTTTGTCATCAAACTACCTCTTAGTTGGTATTTATTCCTCCCAATTCTAGGAAAGAATGACTCATGGAGCTCATAGTGCAGAAAAAAAAATAGAAAAAACCCTTTCTTCTAATTTCTAGCCTAAGTTTATTCCAACTGATGGTGGAAATAGCACCAAAGAAGAAATTTAACTCTTCAGATTTCCTTCTTACCATTTATCTGCAAGAAGTGATGCAACCCTTTACCACTCAGTATTTCAGGGTGACCTTCAGCGCTCTATTTCATTGCTAACAAATTCTATTTCATAGGCAGCCTGCTTATCTAGTAGAGAAAAAAATCCTTTGTTCATTTATTAAGCCACAAGGACTTTTGCTTTTCTTCAGGGAGGAAAAAAAAAGCCGGTACTTGCCAAAACATACTCTGGTAATACAAAGCAGATGATCCTTTTGTACGCTTCCAATTACAAGTAACTTGTTTTCAATCAGCAACTGCATACAATTTCCAAATTCAATTACATCATCTAGTTTGATAGTTATCACGTACGTCAATCGCAAGACCAAAGTGCTGACACATTCTAGTTTGAAATGGCAACATGATGTAAGCACTCCAAAAAAAAAAGTTTGAGAACAGCTATCAAACTTTATCTGCACTAAAGTTTGCTGCATTATTTAACATCTATCAAACATGGAGGAAATTGTTTTCATTTTATTACAGAAAATGCTGGTTTTAAAGGTTTGGTCAGGAAAGAGCTTAAGCCTTACCTCTGGTTTACTGAGACTGGATGACACAAGAGAACCTGATCCCACATCCAGATCCCACTGTTTTCTCCCTCTGTTTTCTGGATCCAGTGCAGCAATTCGTCCATCCAAAGTGCTGATAATCACTAGAGATCTGCAAGTGGGAAGCAGTCACAGTCAAAACTACAGCAGTACAGAGTTTAGCAGCCGCTTTCTGTATTTAACACCACGAAACTCCAACTTTAAAGTTAAGTTATATATTCTGCTAAACAGCAACTTAACTTGGTAGCTCTGGCTAGACTAACAAACATATAGAAGTTGAAGTCTCTAGCTGGATGTCAAACTAATTTATGTGCTACAAGACACTTCCAGAATTCAGTTTCAGGGGAAGTTGATTGACTTTTTGCTCCCACATGCAGGTGTTACCACAATATTGAGATATCCTCTTTTGAGACATTTATGCAAATAGTATAGATATATATGTATGCATATCTATATATCCATAGCTCTCTCTCTATAAGATATATAGGTATATTGTATATATAGTGTAATAGATCCTATTTTTTCCAGTCTCTTCCACACTGATCTTTAACATGTCCTTTCAAAACAACCAAACTCTCAATCAGCACGTAATAAATATTAAGTCACAACTAAGTTTTCAATACCTCTGGATGAAACATCGAAACATTGATCTCACAGGTCTTAGAGCAAAACAAGTCTCGCCTAAGGCATACACAGGGCCCTAGGAACAACCTCCAATGTCTGCAGACAACAAAGCAAGCACTGCCTGACGCAGCTCAGACTTTAAGGAGCCTGTTCTGCCTGGGGATGCATGGTAACGGCAGGGTAGCTGCTGATTTCTACAGCACTTGAAGCTCATCAATTTTAGTAAACCTTGTTTCTTACACAGCAGTACAATTAGAATAAGCATTTCTGATTGGGCTAGAATTTAAGCAGTAAAATAAACAAAAAGAAAAAAAACCCAAACCAAAACAGTAAACAACACATCAGAGACAAAACACTGACAAGGCATGTTTGAAGGGCCTTTTTTCCTTGAAGACTGTTTCACTCTGACCTGAAAAAGCTGGGATGTGTTGGCAGTTTTGGCGTGTTCAGGCTCACCAGCCTTCAAAGGCTGTGGGAGCAGGGTTTGATCACTTCACAGGCTGCTTGCATTCAGGGGGGCTGGATTTAACGACCCAGAAGGACCTTTACAGACGTTGGTTTCAATGAGAATAAGGAACTATACAAATAAAGTCTATGGGTTGATTAACTGGTTTGGTGTGGGGGTGAAAGGGCGGGCCACTAAATTACTCTGTAGAATTGGAGCCAAATATATTCATCTGTCCAAAGTTATCAGGGTAGTAAGTTAAAGTTTAGAGAGACAATGATGGGGGCTATCGTTTTTCCATAAGGAGGGAAAAACTAAAATAATGATCATAAAAACATGGACAGCAGCTTATTACGTCCCCTGCAACAAAGGTCATGTAAAACGCTGCAGTTTTACATGCAAAATTAACCCACACATTTTACAGGGCCTTTATACTGTAGTATAGCACTGTATTGTTAATAAATAGAAATTAAATACATCTTCAAGGTGTACAAAAAATAACATAGCAGCTCCTACTTCTGAACGTGGCCAAGCATCACATTACTCCAAAAGAATCGTTTAGGAAACTGTTAGGAAAGTACCAATTGTGCAAATATTTGAACAGTTGAGCATGTGAGTTTTTATTAACTGAGTACATATAATTATTCCAACTGTACAGAAACCAAGACCGGGTTAATAATCAACTGGACCACAGGAGATTATCTATTCTCAAGCACCGTAAACAAGCGCTCACACACTAAAGGCCCTGGACACAGATTTAACAGAATCTGTTTGCTTCATGGTAAAACAATTTATCTGCAGCACTCTAGCATTGCATAAAAGTATTATTCCAAGTGGGTCTACTTAAATTTTATGTTGATCCAGCTGACAACTCGGCTATATTAAAAAAAAGGTAGAAGTGTAGCTAGAATGGAGGGAATTTTGGCAATAACATTGTAGGAGAAGAAAAAAACCCTCAAATCGCACCGTGAAACGTTTCCTTCCCATCTACTCCCATTGTTTTCCTTTATCTCATTCTTCTCCCTCAAGTAACAAATATTTTATGCCACCTTTCCACATTATCTCTTCCCACCAGATGCAAACCTCAACCTTCCCCGAGAGTACCTCAATATCTGAGCCTCACCACCACAGACAGCAGTTTTGGAATCTGAACCTGCACCATGACCTCCAGTCACCCAAATCGTGGTGTAACCACACTTTAGTTTTGAGTTTAGCTGATTAGGAAAGGGGGGAATTCGTGTCTTCAGAGGGAAGGGAGTGGAGCATCTCCCTTATGAGGAGCAGCTGAGGGAGCCGGGTCTCTTTAGTTTGCAGAAGAGGAGACTGAGGGGAGACCTCATTCATGTTCATAAATATTTAAAGGGTGAGTGTCATGAGGATGGAGCCAGGCTCTTCTCGGTGACAAACAATGATAGGACAAGGGGTAATGGACACAAGCTGGAACACAGGAGGTTCCACTTCAATTTGAGAAGAAACTTCTTCTCAGTGAGGGTGACAGAGCACTGGACCAGGCTGCCCAGAGAGGTTGTGGAGTCTCCTTCTCTGCAGACATTCAAAACCCACCTGGACGCCTTCCTGTGTAACCTCATCTGGGTGTTCCTGCTCCGGCAGGGGGATTGGACTGGATGAGCTTTTGAGGTCCCTTCCAATCCCTAACGTTCTGTGATTCTGTGAACTTTTGTACCAATAGCACTGAGAAACTGGTTTAACCAACTGCTACTGCATACTCTAAAATCCTGACTTTTTGTGGGTGCAGTGCTACTCTTTGTTAGACCCCTTGGCCACCAGCTCTATAAAGGACTTTGTTTCACAAACTCCACCTGCTGAGCAAACACTTTGATGAGACACAGGAACAGGGCCAGCTTGGCTATATCCAGGCTATTCTTTTGAACTGGAACTAGGTGCAAGAAAAGCACTCATTTCTCTCTGCTTTTTTAATGAGAGACTCATTTTGAACTAAATAGTCCTGTTTCTGGTCCCATCTTCATCTTGCTCTTCAAAAATAATCCTGCATGTCAGAAAAAAACCTGCTAAAAATCCTTACTGGTAATAAAATCCTTTGTTACTTACTTTATGTTTCTAGAAATTAACATCTTAATGCCTGTTCTCCCCATCTTTAACTGACTCCAGTGAATTAAAATCCTGTCACATAACTCTTAACTGGTATAAGATCTGCAATTTGTCTATAATAATTTGTGCCCTAGACCCATGCTAGTGTTATACTATGTTGTCACCATCACATTTTCCTTTTTTCAGTTTTCCCTCCTTTCTCTGTGAGATTTCACTGCTTGCAGCTTTGTGTACAGAGTATGAAGTGGTGACAAGAGACCTTCCCAGCTTTCAGGCAGTCTAATCAGGCACTACATTAACATATTCTGATAAAAGCAATTTAGGTGACTACTTCAGGAAACCACTTCAGAGCTTAAAGAACAGGCAGACAACTTGCTTTCTGTCACCCCACAGTGCTATCCTAAGTTCACTGTAGCATTTTATGCCCAATTCTTACAGTAAATTCTTACAAACACCAGAATAATGAGCCATCCTGTTAGCCATCGCTTTGCAAGCCTTTGATGGCTGAAGAGATTAGGACTGTACCTGCAACTCCATTAAATTAAACTGAAATAGCAATATTCTGGATACATCTTTGGGACACCTAAGCAACAAGATGCAAGGAAAAGAAATTCCTGCGTTAACTTCTATTTTGGTTAAGCCTGATAAAGTCTTATTTTCTGCAAAATGATACTTTATCACTGGGTATATCAACATCACCTCCTGACTGGGGTAAAGCTTAAGGACTGCCTTGACCAAAGTCAGCTTCCAACAACATACAAGTTTGCCAAGAAAACTACCAAACAAGACCATCCCACAGAAAATATTAGCCACCTTGAGGTCAGAGGTAGAAAGTCAAAAGTGACAACTATCATGTCACAACTATAATGCCGAGGAAGTGAGGAGGATAGAGAAAAACAGCATCAAGGCTGCAAATTCATGAAATGGCATTCGGTGAAAGCAAATCACTATAGTAGGGAGTGCATCACCTTACAGATACTAGAGAAGGAAGAAACACCCATCAACACTAATCCAGAATTGCAACAGTCTCCACAAGCCTGGACCAGAACAACAAAAAGATGCGGAAAGGAATCACTCCAAACCAGGCAGTTACTGAAATCCCAGCATGTATCAACCAGGCACCCGAAAAAAGAACAATCATTAAAATGATGAAGACACTTACGGACTTCACCTTAATCCAGCTGCTGCTCCAGAACATAGTATGAACCAAGTGATGGAGAAGAAGAAAATCTCTTCTGGGCCCTTACAGAAGGACTAAAGCAAGGGGCCAGTACCTCATAGCACATACAAAGGTATCTGTAATCACAGCAGCTGGCAGAGACTAAGCTAAGACTCGATAGTCAGATTTTATTTGCACTTTGTCAATGAAAACATACCCAGACATACTTCCCTCACTCCGACCATCTACAAACAGCCCCCACGCTTAAATGAACATGTTTTGTTACTATTTCCTACCCTCTTTTGCTCATAGGCACGAACTTGTTACAGAGGTGCAATTGTAACGTTCCCCCTTGAAACTATATAAAACATCTACTACAAAACTCCACAGACACTGCCAAAAGGCCACTCCTGGGCCTTAAAACCACTGTTGACATAATGAACACAGCTCACTTTTTGGGATCAGGTGGCCTGAGCACAGCGCTGTTCTGCTTTACAGAAGTGAAGGTATCTGCTTTACCTAAGAACAGAAGAAAAAGACTAAGATTGCATGGGAAGATGTAAACAGGATAGAGGAGGAACACTCATTTAGCTCATCTACATCCTTTCACTGTGCAAACTTTATTCAAATTAGTTGCTCTTGTTAGAAAAAACAAAGCAGAACTTATCATTTTGGTACAGCTGTTCCTGTTTCAGTTTTACAAAAAGGACAACCCTTATACCCTCAACCCTCAAAGGCCATTTGGGACATTGCAAATGCGGCTGTTTGTCAAACTTGAACTCTAAACAGCTATTCCAATTTCTAAACCGTTTTA